ATGCACACAAGCTGTTGACAAGGTCCAGCTTTTGATGTTTCCTCTTGCAAAATAAAAAAGGAGAGAGGAAAGAGAAAGAGGAAAGGAATAGAAAGGACGTAGGGAAACATGCAGGGAAGAAAACTTGGAACTATTAATATGAGTAACAATACTTTGAGAATATTTTATTGAATTTTGCATATAACATTTGCAAGAAAACACATCAAACAAATCCAACGACACATTTAAAAAATAGGTCAAGTGAAAATATCACAACCAACTCACAGGTATTTACTGATATTTACTTAACAAGAAGTCCAAAATTACTATGACAAGAATACTAGATAACATGATAGAAGGTTTTTATAAGTTTACCTTAATATATCACAGATTAACATCATTCAATGTTGAGACTATGGATATAGAAAAATATAAAATGTTTTACTTTATATTTTATTCAGGATTCCATTATTTGTTATGACCATGGTTTAAGAATGATTTCTATTTGATTCCATACAAAATAATATTTGACTTATCGGTTTGATGAGAACTAACTTTAAGGTTAGAAAAATTTAAATTCTGGTATAATATAGCATATGATTCATTTAAATATTCACACTAACATTGCATTGCTAGTCAGTAAAAGTACAGAATGTCTGACAGACTGTTGATGTACAAGGGGAAGCAGTAACAGTGTATCTGTTGTTTGAGAAAAGAATTAAATTGTGGTGATTATGTCATGGATTAACACATGGATGTTCATATTCAGACTAAGTAGTCATCAGATTTTAACTTTATCTGGAAAAAATACCTAAGTGGATTTAAAAATATGAAGGTAGATTTTTGAGTATACTTTAAATAAAGCTAAATGTTATTGTCATGTAATGCCTGACAGTCAGTTCTGGTATAGTTACAGGAAATAATGAGTTTTCTTCAAGTCAGACTTTCTAGTCACTCCCGCTTCCCTGTCATCCTGATTACAGAATACATGTGATGAAAAACAAGACGCTAAAAGTGTTTACTATGGTGCTCATTGGGCTGAAGTGATAGCACAGCGGGTAGGGCATTTGCCTTGCATGCAGTCAACCTGGGTTCGATTCCTCTGTCCCTCTTGGAGAGCCTGGCAAACTACTGAGAGTATCCTGCCTGCAAGGCAGAGCCTGGCAAAGTTCCCCGTGGCATACTCAATATGCCAAAAACAGTAACAACAAGTCTCACAATGGAGATTTTACTGGTGCCCACTCGAGCAAATCAATGAACAATGGGAGGACAGTGGATAGTGGATGGTACTCATGACAGTCATTTTTCTTTGAATCAGAATGGCCACAGTTTCTTGGGATAATTATTGCTTCAACTGTTCAGAGATCAAAAATAGGATACATTTTTAAAAAGATTAAGAAGATCAATGAACATCATTTTTCATTCTATTATTTTGATGTAAAGATTTAGTGTTGGGGTTAGAGTACATGGACCTAGTATGTCCTTGATGAGAAATGAAAAATATTTGGCTGTCACCTCATGAAGAGACTTTATTTTGAAAGTATCTAAAGTTTGTCAATCACATAAACCACACCTTATAGTAAAAATCTAAAACTACCCCATATATCATTTAAAATCAAATTTAAATAAAACTTTAAAATATAATGACAATGATAGGGGAAAAAATAATATGACAGAGGATGATCAGAGAAAAGAACATAAAAGTTAGCGGCATTTACTGATAGAAGATGTTGAACAAGTCATTTGATACTTCTTTGTTGTTAAATCTTTAAACATCCGATGACATAAATTACTTCATATAGATATTTTAATTGAATAAGACACAGGGATTCTTTTTGATGTAATAATAAGCAGATGTGAATTATCTCTATGAAACAAATGAGTGTTTTGTTATTATAACATCTACATTCTACTTGTATAAGATTTTATAAATTGTTATGAAACATTTAATGTAATACATAGAAATACTACATACACTGTTTGCTTTGCCTTGAGTATATACATGTAGGAACTTATGAGAAATCATACCATTTTATACGGTAATTAAAAATGGTTTATACAGTGCCCTTAGAACTGGGAAAAAAGAGGATATTCCTTTGGTTGATGATCATGCAATTTTATGGCATGAAGGAAAAGCACAGTTGTACGTAAACAAAACACTTAACTTCCCCTCCCCCGAGCCCAGCATTAAGAGATCACACTTTGGAAACAATTTACCAGAAGAAATACTACTATGGGTATTTTTATTATGATCAGATCACAAATTGTTGTAAGATATATTATTATACTATTAGCACATAATGCCAGAACCACAATTTAGCAAATTTCACTAACTTAAAGAAAAAAAACAATGAAATTACTTCTTACAAAGAACACTGACACTAATACATAGGGACTCAATTACACTTAGTGAAAATTCAGATTCACAAAAGTAATCAGATGAAATGCCTTGATAAATTGATCCACTAACCAAAAACTACATTTCCTATTATTATAGAAGACTTTAAAAATGCCTCCCACCCCCATCTGTATTGAAGGATATAAGACTACAACTCTGGACAAATAATCTCAGTATGACAAAATAGTTCTGTTTGAATACTTCAAATGGACTGCTATCATTTTAATGTTCCCCTAATGTCCACATTTGAGCATTCCTCTAATCTTTCTACCATTAAAACAGCAACCAGAATATATTCTTATTTTCAATGATTATAGGTACTTCTTACCTACCTATATTGTGCAAAACCTACATAACCCTTCTTTTCCCAAGTGTCCATGAAAGTCAAACAGAATCATCTGGGTTATCCCTGAATTTTAATTCTCACTCCTGAGAAAAATTAAATATAATATAGCTCTCTCAAGTCTCTTTTGTATTTGGAAAAATTCACAAAATTTTGTGAATATTATTTTAAATTGTAGTCATTTGCTTCAGGGACCAACTGGGCATAAGCTTTTTAATATAGAAAAAATTTGTGTCTTATAGTTAAAAACAGTTCATTGGTATATTTGATTCTGATTGGCCAACTGTTTATTATACTAGAAAAATTAAAATAAAAGATTTGCTTGAACATTTTGTTTAGATAACTAGTTCAACATTCAAACATGAAATGATAAATGATAATGACTAAGTCATGGTGAAAATTCAAAATAAATTTGAAATATTTTACATCTTGCTGAGGTCAACTGGCAATGTTAGAAAAACAAACACTTTAGTTTCCAGTCTTGCTGCCCCATGAGTAGAGACTATGGCATCTTAGTGATAGGAGGGGAGCATGGGCATATTTTGTACACATATCACAACAATATGAAAGGTTAAAGACTTTCCAAAGATGTAAAGAAACACACAGATTACTAAATTCAACATCTTCATTGTATTCACCATGAAACTGTGGTGTAGAGAGGTTAATGGGACTCTCCCAGGGGGACACATAGGTTAATGACAGCCGGCACTAAAGCACAGATGGCTACTTAAGTTCTACCTAACTGCTTCTGGTGAAAAAACACCAAGAGATCATAAGGCAAACCTTGTCCATCCAACCATTTCTACCTTCTTCACCTCCCAGAATAAAAATATGCTGTAAGACTCTGGTATTGTTTTAGTGGTTCATGTACAATTTCAAATTATCTTAACATTGAACTTTATTGATTTAATAACATTTCCTCCTTTCTAGATATTTCACAAATCATTTTCAAATCCCCAAATATTTTTCTTTTCTTTTTCTTGGGAGGGGGGAGAGTTTTTAGACCTTACCCTGCAATGCTTAGGGCTTACTCCTGGCTCCATGCTCTGGAACTACTCCTGTCCATGCTTGGGGGACCATATGGGATACCAGGGATTGAACTGGGGCTGGCTATGTGCAGGGCAAGTGTCCTATCCACTATAGTCTCTCTCCTTCCAGCCCTTCCAAAGATTTTTCTGTATTTTCATGTTCCCAATATATAACAGAAACAATTTTTAGAAAAGAAAAAAATCTAATTTCCTTCTCTGATGATCAATTTGAAGAAGGATGTATTTATGACATTCTCAAGGCTTAAGTCTTACTCCAATTTATTCTTTTCTTCAGAGGTCCAAGAAAATCTGAGTACTTTAAGTATTGTTCTAAGTCTTTTCAAATGCATGTGAGGATTTGGGAGCTAGAAATGCCTTTGGAGATCAGTTGGCCCAGCACATTCTTTTGCAATTCAAAGGAAGCTGAAACCTAGCAAAGATAAGTGACTTATCCAGGCCCCACATTGCAAAGTGGGTAAGAATCCTGGTCTCCTGAGATATAGACCAATACTATTTTTACTCTACATTTGGTGAACCATTCTTGTTATGACAATCTAGTACCATTCTGGTGTGTAAGTTCAGTTTTAATTTTGACCTAAAACTTTAGTTTTAATAATCAAGCAGATATGATGTCAAACTATGATGCTCAAAGCTATGTAATTGATATTTTATGAAGGTAGTTGCTGTGCATAATTTTTGTAACATCCACTTATTAAAATATATGAATTCTAAGACCTCTTAATTGACAGTTCATTGATTTGTTTTCATCATCCCAATAGTTAATGGAAATTGCTTAATTGCTAACTAGAGTCTGGTTATTAGTTATGAGTACTAAGTTGTCTGGAATGGGCTGACTTTTATCTAGGTCAGTGTTTCTGCTTCAAGGTCTATACCAGAAGAAAAACATAGTGATGGTTATATTTTCACTCTAGTTATAAGCATCCAGATCGAAGGTTCATATAGTTCACATCCTTCACTATATTACTCCGCTTTTCCCTGCATGATCTTGTTTAAAACTCTGACCACACCGTGGGGAAATTACCATCATATATGCAAAATTAATTTTAGATTTTGCATTAAAGAAAGTCATGTGGATTGCATCTCCTATTTATTTGTTCTGTTGTTAGTAGGAATAAGACAGCTTTAGCTGCCAATTCTTATATGTGAAGAATGTAATTAACCAACCATGTTTCCTCCTACAGGGCATGAAAAAGGAATATATCCTGTTTTGTTAGTAAAATATTCTATAGAAATTGAAATTATGCAAGGGTACTTAATAGCACTGTTATGAAATAGAGTTAGAGGCTAATATTTATTTATGTTCAAGAATATTTTAGGAATTAAATGTGGAAATTAAAATGTCTTTATGCTAAATGTTCATAGTTAAGGCTTAGTAAATAATATACAAATAGCTACCATTCTGCTGAAATGTCACAGTAAATACATTAATAATGGCACAGAAGTGAAATGTCACCTAAATGGGAAATCATCTTCATGACCTCCTAAAAACTTTGCCAATGAAAACTTTGCTTTTTAATTGAAAAAATTTTCATTTCTAAAAGAATATAAAAATAGAAAATAAGTCAAATACAACTTTGAAAGAAATTCTATAAACACAGATGGAATATTGTATATATACTTAAGAATGTGCTTTGTTTCATCACATCAAACATCTCAGGAAAACTAAACTGAATGAGCATATACAACTATTAAAACTATAACTGTGTCAAAAATTTGGTTAAGATAGACAACTCAAGCAATGTAATTAGTACTAATGTATTTTTAAAGTTACCTACAAGACTGATTTTCCAATCTATCAGTTTGAATCAAAAAATAAAAGACTGTTTCATCAAGCAAGGCACATTTCCTTTAGGCAAGTCTGTCTTTAATTTCATTTATCTGGGCACAGTGTAGACTTCACTTATTTACATTTACATGTAAATACAAATACATGTAAATAGGCTAATCTATGTGTTAGAGCCTTTGGTACAGGACACACTTTCACAAGTAAAGTTGTGCATAATCCCAAACATGGAATATAATATGAACGTATCTCATGATTAAATTAACTGAAAGAAGAAAACAGCAATAGGCAGTCTGTTGGAAATACACATTTAGGTTTTCTTCATCATTGGTACTGATTCCTTTTGGGATAATTAGATTTCATCAAAATGTCAAAAGGATGAAATGATAATACCTTAATATTTTAATGGTCTTCATTATCTCTTGAAGAACGTCTCTTATATTGCACATGATTAGAAGAGAATCCTCCAGTGTCACAGCTGTTCCTTTACATCAACTCTTTGTTAAAGACATGTTATTTAATGTCAATTGAAACAGAAAGCACGGCCAGCAGCTCGGTCATAATCATCAGCAACATAACCAATACTGCATTCTTGAGCTAGGCAATTCAAAAGCCAGCCTCCTACTGGCCAGTGAAGCTCTAGAATTCATTATGTGGGGTTCTTCAGGTATCTGTTGGACAGAGGAAACACAATGATTTACTAAGTATAGATATATATTTTAAATTAATGATGTTATGTCAATATAAAGTGTTTTAGTTTTTATATTTTTCAAAATTTCAGTACATTTTTTTCTTCTTTTTGTGGGGGGTGTGTGTGTGCCTGGCAGTGCTCAGGCCTTATTCCTGGCCCTTTCCTCAGGAATCTCTCCAGGAAAGCCTCAAGGGACCAGATAAGCTACAAGGGATTGAACCCAGGTCATCTGTGGGCAAGGCAAGCACTATCCCTGCTGTTCTATCTCTCCGGTTTCCATGGTGCATTTCCCCCCTACCGTTAACACGAAATGTTCAATTTAATTTTTTGTTTGTTTGTTTTGGGTCACACCCGCAGCGCTCAGGGTTTACTCCTGGCTCTGCACTCAGGGATCACTACTGACAGGCTCAGGGGACCATATGGGGTGCTGAGGATCAAACCCAGGTTTGCCACATGCAAGGCAAAGCCCTACTTGCTGAACATAATACACTAATTTCATCAATGCATTTCCAAGAACTTTCCTTTTCTGGCTGAACATCTTGCTGAGGTGATCATAATTCAGATTAGTATTATAGCGGAGTGCAGGGGAGCAGAAACAGTCTCAAAAAGGGTACCGTCAATATGGAAAGTATCATGCTAAGCGAAATGAGTCAGAAAGAGAGGGATAGACATAGAAATATTGCATTCATCTGGGGGATATAAAGTAACAAAGTATGAGATTAATACCCAAGAATAGCTGAGATCAGCACCAGGCGGATTACTCCATAACTTAGAGGCCAGCCGGGTATCCTAGAGGAAAGGGCAGTTCAGATAGAGAAGGGAGCACGAAATAAAGGGTGTTTGGAGGATCCTCCCAGGAGGGGAGATGCATGTCGAAAGTAGACTATGGACTGAACATGTTTGCCACTCAATGCCTCTTTTGCAGACCACAACACCCAAAAGGAGAGAGAGAACACAGGGGATTGCCCTGCCACAGAGGCAGGGGGGGATAGGGGGATGGGGGTGGGGGGATATTATCCATGGTGGTGGAAAATGGGCACTGGTGGAGGGATGGGTATCTGATCATTGTATAATCGAAACCCAAGCACAAAAAATTGTAAATCTACAACTGTAATAAAAAAAAAGGGTACCGTGGAAATCATGTGTTATAGATGTTATAGCTATAATTCATCTTGTGACTAAAATAACTTTCAAACCTGTCAATCCTTTAAAATTTGAATTCTGCACAGTTTAATTCATCACTTTAAGAAAACACAATTTAAGATGAACATAACCATTTATTCAGTATCTGTGGGAAACCAATATATAAAAATTCAAGGTCTGTTTCTCTCTTTCCTCAACTAGAAAAAAGTGTTGACAATAGTGTTTCTCAAAATAGCATAGACCATGGCCAGAGAGATAGCACAGCATGAAGGGCACTTGCCTTGCACGCAGCTGACACAGGTTTGATCTCTGGCACCTCATATGGTCTCCCAAGTCCCCCTAGAAGTGATCCTAATAGTCAGGAGTAAGCCCCAACCACCACTAGGTGTGGCCCCCCAAATCAAAATATAGCATAAGCATTGGATTGGAGATAGCTCAATGGCTGGAGTGAGCTTTACATGTAGGAGGACGTATTTTATCCCTGGCACCACATGGTTCCTTAAGCACCATCAAGAGTGACCCCTAACACAGTCACCCCTGAAAAATTCTGGGTGTGACCCTCATGAAAGCAAATACCAGTATAATTTTTTTGTTCACTGCTACATAAAGAACACAGGATTGTATCTGTGACATAGTAGACACTATGTGCTGAATAAGTTAATAAATACCTATTCTTTTTTTTTTTACAGAGTTTGATACAGAGCAGACTCTCACAAAACATGCTGAATGAAAAAAATGGATACATAAAGTTAGAGTTAAATACTCTAGAGATTTATTGTGTAATATATAGGATAGATAAAACCATACCAAGTATTGAAACCAGCTCCAGATGTTACATATATCCTAGATTTTAGCAGATATATTTTAAAAAATTGTTTTTGGATCACACTTGGCTTTACTCAGGACTTACTTCTGGCCCAGTGTTCACTCCTGGCTGTGCTCAGGGGAGGAACAATATGTGGTACTAGAAACCCAACCCAGGTCTCCCACATTCAAAGAAAGCGCCTTACTCACTGTACTCTCTGGCTTCCCCAGCAGATGTCTTAAAACTACTGGTAAATGCTGAATGATGATGAGCTGATTTTTTTTTAATTTTTAAAAAAAAATTTTTATTAGTGAAACACCATGAGGTACAGTTGTAGATTTACAATTTTTTGTGCTTGGGTTTCGATTATACAATGATCAGATACCCATCCCTCCACCAGTGCCCATTTTCTACCACCATGGATAATATCCCTCCCACCCCCATCCCCCCATCCCCCCTGCCTCTGTGGCAGGGCAATCCCCTGTGTTCTCTCTCTCGTTTTGGGTGTTGTGGTCTGCAAAAGAGGCATTGAGTGGCAAACATGTTCAGTCCATAGTCTACTTTCGACATGCATCTCCCCTCCTGGGAGGATCCTCCAAACACCCTTTATTTCGTGCTCCCTTCTCTATCTGAACTGCCCTTTCCCCTAGAATACCCGGCTGGCCTCTAAGTTATGGAGCAATCCTGCTGGTGCGATGAGCTGATTTTTTTAAATGAAAGAATCATTCATTCACTAAAATGCTATGTAATATAAGGTGCTGGGAAGTAATCAAATATATTTTTATTGTATTGTGTTACATTTGTTTTATTATTTCTTATCACTACTCTTTAATCAAGAGTATATGAATAAAGTCCTAGATCCAATTCCGATCACTTACTAAAATAAATCACAATACACTGAACTTTCACTATGAGAATTTAAAAATCACATGTCTGAGAGTTTTTGATGACTAATAATTATAATACATAACATCCATTTTCTTTTTGCCTAGGGCCTGCTCAATGCAGTTTTGGCTATTTTATCTATACATGTACATATATACACATATGTTGTTGATCCTTGTGAGTGCTTATATATCTTGAATATTATGCATGTGAATATTTTCTACCATTTAGTTGAGCATCTTTTAGTTTTAACCTGTGTTTTATTAGCCATGCAGAAACATTTTAATTTGGTGAAGTCCTATTTGTTTATTTTTGCTTCTGTTTGTTGCCTTGTCCAATGGATCCAGATCATTGAAAAATTGAAAATCAAAGCAAGAAATCTTGGGATATTCTGTCAATACTACCTTGATGTATTTTATGTGTTATTGTCTGATCTCAAGGTCTTTGATACACTTTGAATTAATTTTTGTGCAAGGTATGAGATATGAATCCAGATTTCTTTAAACATTTTTTAATCAGTTTTCTCAACACCATTTGTTAAAGAAACTATCCTGACTCCATTCATGTACCTAGCTTTCTTGTCAAACATTAATTTACTATAGATATAGGGATCTGTCTTTGAGTATCTGATCTAACCCACTCATCAAAAGTCTATCCTTATTCTCACGCTGTTTTGATCACTATAGCTGCATAGTTTTAGGTTAGGTAGTGAGATACCTCCCATTTTCTTATTTCTCAGTGTAGTTTTGACGATTCAGAGTTTTATGATCCATAAAAAATCATTGACCATTATAAATTCTTGAGGAAGGAATGGCTGAGATTAGTACCAGGAATTTTGCTCCATGACTTGAAGGCCAGCCACATGTGCTAGGTGAAAAGGAAGCTCAGATAGAGAAGAGAGCACCAAATAAAGGGTGTTGTGAGGACCCTCCCAAGGTGGGAGAAGCATGCTAAAAGTAGTCTATAGACCAAACATGATTGCCACTCAATGCCTCTCTTGCAAAACACAGTACCCAAAAGAAGAGAGAGAACAAGGGGGAATGCCCTGCCACAGAGGCAGGGTGGGACAGGGGGGATGGGGGGTGGGAGGGATGCTGGGACCCGTGGTGGTGGAGGATGGGCACTGGTGGAGGGATGGGTACTTGATCATTGTATAACTGAAACCCAAGCACAGAAATTTATAAGTCTATAACTGTACCTCATGGTGTTTCACTAATAAAAATGAAAAAAAATCCTTGAGGAATGTCATTGTGATTGTGCTGAATTCTATATTGCAATTTAAGCATGATGATAATTTTGACAACACTGATTCTTCTAATCTAAGCACATGATATATTTTTCCATTTCCTAAGGTCTTCGTCATTCTTACATAATTTATAGTTTTCATTATATAGACTTTTTTGTTGATGAATAGGTACTTAATGTTTGTGGACATTATTTTGAATGGAGTAGATTTGTTTATTCCACATATATATATATATGTATATAATCATGTCATCTACAACTAGTGATAATTTAACCTTTTTTTCCCAATTAGAAGCCCTCCAATTTATTTCTTGCCTGGTTGCTGTTAGGACTTGTAATACTATATTAAATAACAGTGGAGACAGTGGACATATTTGCCTTGTGCACAATCTCAGAGGGAAAGTTTTCAGTTTTTCATCATTAAGAATGATACTACCTGTGGGTTTGTTATAGATGGTCATTACTATTTTGAGGAAAGTTCCTCTCACCCTTTTATTGAGACTGACTTTTAAAAAAATTTTATCATGAATGGGGCTGGAGCGATGGCACAGTGGTAGGGCGTTTGCCTTGCACACAGCCTACCAGGTTGATTCCTCTGCCTTCGATTCCTCCGCCCCCTTGGAGAGCCCAGTAAGCTACCGAGAGTATCTCGCCCGCATGGCAAAACCTGGCAAGCTACTCGTCACATATTCGATATGGCAAACACAGTAACAAGTCTCACAATTTTACTGGGCCCACTCAAGCAAATCGATGAACAATGGGAGGACAGTGACAGTGATCATGAATGGATGTTAGGTCTTGTCAAAAGCTTTTTCTGCATCAATTGATATGTTCATAGATTTTTCTTTCCTTTTATTGATATAGTGTATTAAATTAATTGATTTGTGTATGTTAAACCATCC